TTTTTGGGAGTATGAAAGAAAAAAAAAAGAAAAATCCCATCGGCGGCGCGGTAGAGCGCGAAGGAATGATTTACAGAGAAAAAGGAAAGCCGCCCCGGGTACGAAATGTAAAAACGTACACAACAAATGCAAAAAGGAGGTTAAATGCGGCTAACCTAAGGTTACCAAATAGATGCGAGTAAATGAATTACCAAATAAATGTGAGTAAATATGATATATACACTGATATATACATGTGACGAACTAGAGGCGAACCAGGGCGCGACCATCACAATCCAACTCCATCTCCATCATTACTTTCAACCATCCACCATCAACCACAACTTCCATCTCCACGACCATAACAAGCCATCAACACTCCATAGCGCGTTACGCACCAACCACAACACCATTCTGCCAGATACACTAAAGTAGAAACGTTCTATGAAGTCAAAGAGATGGAAGAAGTGGAAAAATACCAACCATAATGCACTTTCTCTCAGACTGCTACACACAGGTTCGCCAGTAGGTCTCTACTTCTGCGCGCCACGAGGAAGCTTCGGTGTTCCGGCGCGTGAAAAGCTCCCTGATGGCATTGGGGGGTGAGTTTGCTCGTCCAACCAGCGATAGAACTCCTCTTCGGGCATGTGCACGTCCTGACGAATGTCGTTATTTCTTCTACAAAAGGCGCGATTGTGCCTCTCTCCTCCGCAATTGTTGCACCAGTACTTCTTCTTGCAGGCTCCATAGTGCTTCATGAGGCAGACCGAGCAGATCATTCTTTCCAGCGCGATCTCGACCCTGCGTGACATCGTCTTCGCCACATTGCACTCGGCGCTGTAGTGCCTATCGCGGCCGCAAAAAACGCAAGGGGACAGATGGAGGTGTCTCCCTCTGAACACCGGGCAACGCGCGACCGACTCGGGTCCGTCTCCAATCCTGCTAGTATGTCCTCCAAACGTGCTGGCTGGGCGGGAAAAGTACTCGCGCGGATGACTTGCGCGGTGGCTGAAGTGGTCACAATCGGGGGTGCAAATCCTGCGCTACTGGCCATCTGCTCTTCGCGCGTAGATGATGAAGCGCTAGGTGACTGCGAGCGCGACACACATGACGACTCGTCTTCCATAATGACACATTGAAGAAAATGGCCAGTTGGGTTGACTCCTCTGAGGTCCTATACAACTCGGGTCTCGCACTCCAAGTAGTTTATTGGCAATAGTGACACTTCGAGTGGCGAAACTAAACAACTCACAGTAGGAAAGATGCAAAATGAAAAATACATCCAAATAGCGCGACGAGGCACCAACCGAAGGCTAGAACAAGTACATATCTACAAGAGTATACAGGAAAATGGGTAAAACTACAAACAAAATCCGTGATTGCGCGTGCGGGATCAATAACATTTCACAACTCATAAGCGCCAATCGAATGACTAAGCCGACGCGCGCGCTTCACTCCGCGATGGTACTTTCGCGTCGGGACTCAACACTGTCTAAAGATGGATTTAGACGGAAAAACTGATCGGAGCGCGACTGCTGAGCGTATCAACGGATGGAAAAGTATGAAATGAATGAAAGTGATATACAAAGGAAAGGAAAAAAGGAAAAAAGAGGGTAATAGGAAATTTGAACATGTACCTGTTCTATCTTCGTGTTAATCCCTGGATGTCCCTCGGAGGCTATCTTTCAATGCAAGATGACGTTCGTAGCCTCGTTCTACGATAGATTCTTCGTCCGTCACTACTTCCAGGGGCAACAACTGGTTGATTGAACGTTCCACAATCGTTCTTTTGGCCGTCCGGATCTTGGCTGATCTTATATTGCCATCTGATAACGTAATTAACTCCAAGATGAGTGCTAGTGGCCAGGTTGATGTATGCGCGTCCTGTTTAACGAGCACTACTTCTCCTACTCGGGGCAGTGTCTTGCTGAACTGACCATTGGCATGCTTAACTTGCCTCTGGGCCAATGCATCTAGATACTCACTCTGCCAAAGCTGCCAAAAATGGTCTAGATTTTCCTGCAGCGCTTCGTAGTGCGCGCGAAGTGCTCGATAACTGTCGCTCGACGTGCTACCGATCTTCTGAGGCACGATACGAGTCAGGCGGGCCACTTGAAAGGTACGAGTTATCAGATCGATGGGTCTTATTGCCACGTTCGTATCCGGATCTTGCGAGTTCACCGGAAAAAGAGGCCTGGTGTTGAGGATGGCTTCTATTAGGGTGAACGGTAAAAAATGGGACAACTTGAGAATAATTGCAAATTTCTCAAGGAAGAAAAGTGACTGAACTTTCCAATTTTGATGGATATTAGAATAAATTATTCTCTTTCAGATAGTACCTATATAAGGTCATTTGAATAATTGATAATTTTTATACGTGCTAAAATGCAAAGTTAGTTACTTCGAGAAATTATGAAGTTTGAGCAGTATCGGCGCAGTGAAACATGTGAGACCACCCAAAGTACCACTGCTGGAGTGAGTGGTGGGACTGTCACCAAACCCACGACGGCTTGGTGGCTTTAACCCTCAATGTCAGGAGATATGCCCATTAACAGCTTCGAGAACAAAGATACGCGTTATTCAATTCTTTGCAGGTAAACGCATGATTTCTGGGTATCATCTGATAGAGCTTTTTACGCTCTATCCATCCATATGCAGCTTACTTCAGATTTTATCTATCTTCGGAGAATATAGGGCAAAACATGATTTTTTGGTTTTTTGTTGCGCCAAAAATAGCTATTTTTCAGGTTTTTTCGATTTTTTTCTGAAATTGACAAGAAATCTCATGCATTCAACGTATCGTTCGAAAGAGCATGAAGAGCTCTTTCGAATGGTATGTCATTTGCTTTACGACTTTACGGTACAACAGCGCAAGGTTGAGGATTGTCCAAAAAACCCTGTTCGAGTTCTTCACGGCGCCACGTGTAGGGTAGTGGAAGAGGAGCGTTAACGCGTTGTCGGAATAATAAGCGAAGGTCGCCCATGTAAGCGACGTTTAAGTTGCTGCTTAATTGCTGTTGCCAGAAACAAAAAATTCCAAAATGAAATGAAAATCAAGCTGTCCCATTTTTTACCGTTCACCCTAATATTTCGATAATGAGAATTTCGAAAAGCCAAAGGTCCAGTATCTGGTTCCGTACCGTCTTCTTGAGCGCGGTCTTGACCGAGCCAACCAATCTTTCATAGAATCCTCCTTTCCAAGGCGAGTACGGGGTTATGAAGTTCCAGTTGATGTTATTGCTGGCAAGAAAGTGATCCATTTGGCTGTCGTCCACTATGGCTGGTAACTCATTCTTGATGAGCTGCTGTCTTAGCTTGAAGGTGGGCGCGTTATCGCATCTGACGGTGTCTGGTCTTCCTCTGCGCGCCATGAATCTCCTAAAAGCTAGAATAAACTGAAGTGTGGAGTTATCTCTTACCACTTCCAGATGGATCGCGCGGGTTTACATACACGTGAAGAGGCAAACCCACACTTTGTGGCGCTCAGATGACTGTAGGTGAACAAGAATGGGTCCGAAATAGACCAAGCCGATGTTCTGAAATGGACGGCTCCTAGTTACCCTCTGCGATGGGTAATCCGGTGGGTCTGGATACGCTCAAGTACGGGCTTGATATCTCCTACAAATCACACATCTGGAAATACAGGACTTTACCAAACGTTTCAATTTAGGTATGAAGAACTGCTGACGTAAGATGGTTATGACATGAGACGGTCCAGCATGAAACAGCTGGTGGTGATAATGCATGATTAACATGTGGCAGAGCGAATGATCTGGTAGAATAAGGACAGGATTAGTGGAGTTTGCTGTCTGCGCGTTTGACATGCGCCATTCGACTTTGATGATACCGTCATCGTCTCGTCTCGTACGGAACTTCTTCATATAGCGGCTATCCAGTTGTTGCTGGCCTTCCTTGTAATGCTCGCGTACGAGCGTTAATTCAGCTGCCTTGAAGTCGTCTGATGTTACTGTAGGTGTCGTGTCTATGGAGCCAATAAGGGATCGCGCGTCCTGACACTGAAAATCATGGCGCTTTGTAACTCGAGCGCGAACTTGGCCAAGTACTTAAGGACGCGGGCCGTAATGCGGACTAGCTTGGTATACGAGTTAGTGCGCTCGAAGGGCACGAAGGACTTATATGGCTCCAAAATCGTGTTCTTTGATGTTGTGACCGCTTTATTGAAGTTCTTCTACTTCTGCTCCTGGTGGAGAAGTAGATGGTGGCTCAAGTGTGTTCCAAGGCCACTGGTCAAAAGGGGTCGTAAAAAAGCTTGGACCGGTCCACCACATATGATTTTGAAGTTCTTGCGCGGTTAGTCCTCTGGTGGCACAGTCCGCCGAATTGTTTTCCGTGTTCAAGTAGTAGAATCCGGTGGCAATCTTGTCCGCTCTTAGCTCGTCGAGCACGCGACGGATGTATTTAACGCGATTCGCGACGTAAGTTTTGAGCGGCTTGCGCGATTGTATCCAATAGAGAACTATTTGGGAGTCGGTAAAGAATGTGATGGTCCGGAAGCTGGCTTTACACTGTTTCCTAAGGAACTTCACCATCTTGGCTGCCATATGACAAGCCAAAAGCTCTATGCGCGGAATGGTAATCGCGCCAGGTGGGGCTAACTTTGCTTTGGCAAATAGCAAAGTGGGCTGTGGCTTGCCGTCAGAATGACGTGTTGGAATGTAGACGACGGTGGCATAAGCGCGCTTAGACGCGTCTGAACAAAAAACCAAGTCATAAACGTCGCCATGGGTGGATCCAAGATAGCGCGGCACCTGCAAGTGAAAACCGCTTATATCTTGCGCGATCGTATTCCGTTTTTGGACATCTTTATCAACAAGCGGGTCATCCCAGCCATAACCGATCTCCCACAAGTCCTGGATAAACATCTTAGGTCTTATAATTAGCGGTGTTAGGAATCCTAGAGGGTCAAACGTGGATGCATAGGCTTGAAGTGCCGTCCTTTTACTCGTTACTAAAAGCTGCGCGATGTTGATAGGCACATAAAGTACATCGAGCGTAGGATTCTACTTGACTCCTAGGAGTTTGACGAAATGTCCTTGTATGTTCATACGGTCATGCTCGGGGATCGACAGCATCGTACTCGAGTCATTAGACATGAACTCACGAAGGTTCATGCACATCCTGGCAAAGATATCCTTGCATTGTTTGCACTTATTCAAACATTCCTCGGTGGAACCTGCTCCGACTATCACATTATCAACATAGGTATTGGCAAGAATCTCTTCTTTAAGACGATTCGCTGGATCCTGTTTTAAGAAGTACCTGATGGACATACTGAGTAGGAATGGCGATGCATTTATGCCGAAGGGCACGCGCGCAAAGCGTAATACTCGGAGATTGTCCGCTGATGGTTCTTGACGGACGTCTTTTAGCCAAAGGAATCTAGTACAATCTTTCTGGTCCTGATGGAGATGGATCTGATGGAACGCTTTCTCTACGTCCGCGATGATAAGATAACGGTGGAAACGGCTTCGCATCAACGTTCCTACTAGGTCTGGCAACAAGGAAGGTCCCTGATGTAGACAGTCATTAAGGCTTGGACAGCCTTTCTGGTGACTGGACGCGTCAAAGACGATCCTCAACTTAGTGGTGGTACTATCCTCTTTGTAAACGGCTTGATGCGGAATATAATAGAAGTTAGGTCCTTGGGCAGGAGCATCCATGACATCTTCGATTATGCCGTTTCGTAACTGCTCGTCAAACGTCTTGCAGTAGTCTTTCCAAGCTGATGGAGTCGCGCGAACTTTTCGTACTGACGCTGCAGTCGACGAAAGGCCAAAGGTTTGTTGTCCGAAAGGGGAGGATGGTCCGATTTCTATGGAAAGGAAACGTAGATGCTACCGTCAACAATGGCAACCGTGTCGTAAAACTGCCTGATGACTCCGGCATTCTCCGTATCTTCGCCTTCGTCCAATTCCAGTGTATCGAGTCCTAGAAAGTTCCGCATAACTTGCTCGCTCTCTGGCTCGTCCTTGTCCGAAGTAGTGGTAGCTGAAAGGCTATTGGAAACTGTGGAATGCTGCAAACCAGATAAAACTGGTCCAAATCTAGTGTGCGACAGGATGAGTCCTGATGGAAGTTTCTCATTCCTGTGCAAATCCACAATGCGCCAGTAGTTGTCAATTCCAATGAGCACGTCAACTTCCACCCTATCTCCAGGGTCGACGGTGGCACTGTCGTTACTGTTGTTGACTCTTGGAACCGTAGTGATCTTCTCGCGCGTCCATAGCTGGAGCTGAAGTGGACGACGTACTGGTCCCAAAGTGTAAGGGTAACCTCTGACGATTCTTCCGTAAGTTGATGTCCTCCGAACGTCAGGGTCGTGACTGCTCTTGTGTTCCTAAACGTCAGGCCCAGATGTTTGGCCAGTGCGGTACATGAAAACTGTATTGAGAACCGCTATTCATGAAGACTATAAGCAGTTCATCCGCGTTAGTCTTATACCCTATTTTCAGGTGTATAAGCCGCACTTTTTCAAGTTTTCGCCCGGGCTGCTCAGCCGCCTTATTGTGTTTCGAGAAGCGATCCTTATGCCGCACGATTCTTTCAAGCAATACGCAGCACGGCATAGGGTCTTTTGGATGCGAGGTCCATTGATGTGTTCTGGCTGATCGATTTAACCGACCACCCCGCGGCTTATACACCTGAAAATAGGGTAATTCTTCGTGACAGCATGGACTACCATTAAACGAGGTTCTTGAGGTATCGATTCATCGTAGCAAACAGAAGTACAAGAGGATGGTGAATGCGCTCCTGCGCAGTCGCGAGAGCTTTCCGGTAAATCTGCTTGCTCTTTAATGGTAGTAGAAGGCGTCTCAAAAGTACAGTTGGTGCTGTATACTGCGGATACAGGGGTAGGTGACCTGTGCGATGATGGCGTGCGCCTCGACGGTGTATTAGAAACCCAACGTCTCGACTGTGATGGTGACCTCGACTGGTAACTGCGCGATGATGACGCACGTGGAGAATAGGTACTCCTGCGCGATACAGATTCTTGGGTTTCGTCGTAGAATTGTACACGTCTGGGCGAACGACCTCTTCGCGCATCCTGATAATATATCGCCCTAGACGGTGGAGTAGGTGATCGCGGTCCAGATGAGACTTTGTAACAAAGTGCCCTATGATGCGTGCTGCCACAAAGACAATAAGGCGCGTCACAGTCGACATAAGTATGGTCCGGTTGTAGACATAACCAGCAGAGGTGTTGACTTTTAACTATGAACCTACGCTTCCTAACATCTGGATAAACTCTACAACGGGTCTGGCAAATGTCCAAAATCCTGGCAGAAAGCACATCGCACGTCCGGTGTTCTAGGTCGCGATCTTCTAGGACTGTATGACGTTTGCCTAGGGTGATAGAACACTGACGCTCTACTCTGTCGGCCAGATGGGGAGAGTGAGCGCGACACTGATCTATATCCGGATCTTGATGGAGTACGATAGCGCGTAAAAGCTTCACTTCTCCTATTCGCACTGGGGTATCTCCGGGGTGAGCGAGAGTCTTGACGAACTGCAGACTGAGAGTTAAGAATGGTGATCCGATGGGTCTGCGTCTTCTATAGACTCCAATCTATCAATGATGGTATCCAACACAGTAAGCAACTTGTCCACTTTCCACATCGAATCTCCTTTGTGCTTGAATTCGCCAATTCTCTCGCGCGTACGTCGAGGAAACTTAGTTCGAATGATCTTAATTGTTCCGATCGCACTGGAGTCTTCCTTAAGATGTTGTAGCTGGGTCCACACGGCTCTGATAGCAGCAAGTGTCGCGCGTTGCGACACCGGGGAGTCTGAGGATGCTGGTAGCTGTATCAACTTATCCCAAAGATTGTTACGAAGGATCTCCGGGCGTCCATACATATTAGTCAGGGATCGTACTGCGTCATCGTAATTTTCCACTGTAGACTGAAAACCGGCGATGTTCGCTGCAGGCCCTCGGAGATGAGACTTCAAATACATAAACTTGAGCGGCACTGGTACAGTGGTGTTATTGTGTACGGCCATCGAGAAAAGGTCCCAAAATTCGAAGAACTTATCGATGTCGCCATGAAACGTCGGGATCTCAAAGGTATGCAATTTCAGCGACTGCTCGAGAGACAAAGTTGTAGCGGGGTTGAGGTTTGAGGACGATACTGAAGATGGATTCGGCTGGGGGGTGGAAGAAGTTACAAAGGGGTTAGCAAAAGTTGGGGGGTTGATAGGGGGGTTTCTCTAGGGAGTGCCGAATCCTTGACTGAGGCTTGCTGCGCGTAGCGCTGCTGGGGCATCAGCTGTTGCGGCAGCATCAGGTTGCGGTGGTTGTTCCTGATACTGAGGTGAGGGGTGGCTCGCGATTTCCACTTCTACCTGCGCGGGCTGAAGGGTCAAAGAAGGATGTTGGGTCAAAGAAGGAGAGGAAGGAACAGTCGGATTACGAAGAAAGTACAAAACCTCTGAGCTCGGCAAGAGTTTGATAGCAACATCGAGACATCATGGAGAGTATTGGCCTCCTCCATAAGTTGATCCAGCCCACTGCGTCCCGATGCTCCTGGATCTCCTGGAGGATGGGATGCTCGCCGTGCTCGTCGGGGTGTAAGCAAGCAAACTCGTCGGTTCTCACTCTCTGAGCACGAAGATGTGCGACAGCACGATCAAGAAAAGTAAGTTTCAAAAACAAAGAACTTTTGTGACTGAGAATGAACTGTGGATCCTTGCCTGTCTCCGTAGTTAGGTCCAACGGTTCGAGGGTGGCCTCATCCACTTCCTTGATCTTGATGCGAAGTGCGTTTGCGGCTTTGGTGATCTGGGCTTTGTGACTGCCGAGAACTGACATTACCTGAAAAAGAACAAAAGAGAAAAACAGTAAAAGGAGGTAAAACAAAACAAGAATGCGATAAATATGACGTGAGTAGCATATGAAGTGAATAACCTATCCTATCCAAAGCACACGGAGTAACCACTACTGGGGCTGTTTACGGCGTAAAGCGACGGTTACAAGCAGGTGATACTGATCAACGCGCAACTAGATGTTACAGGCGCTAACAAGACGAAGAAATGGTGGCTCACTCGGAGGTCCATCCGCGACTCGCTCAGGGCTCCTATCGGCGCGTAGGAGAGGCAGAGGGAAATAAGGGGGAAATGGGGAAAAGGGGGTAAAAGGGAAAATGGAGGCCGCCCGTGGGCCCCTGGACCACCTTGAACTAGCCGTGCCTTCACTGCCGCGTTAACGTCCTAACGGTAAGAAAGAAATGGTTTCCCGCGACAGTAACTCTCTGTGCACGACTACACTCCGCCCGTACGAGGCATGTGCACCTTCGCACTCCCTCCGGTGACGACCAATCCTGCGCTATCACCCACATGCGCTGTCACCGGTGTGATCCAGGCTCCAAAAGGGCGGTGCCATAGCCGTGTACCGCCACTGTCGCTCCCGAAGGAGCCCAACACTCGACTTCGGGCCCGCTCGACAATTTGCGCGCGCCTACCCTGTGGGAAGGGTTCCTCGGTCGAGCCGCCACACCGGCCCGTCCCTGAGTTGGCGCTTCAGGACACGAATAAGCACCGAATACTGTATGGCTTGAGGCGCTGTCGACCGGAGCTTCCAATTGGCAAGTTGCCACAGTCCTGCCGACCGTCTGCTCCACGCCCGCCACCATACTTGGCACTTCGGCTACCATGCCTGCGATCTTGCTCCAGATGCGTATCCACTTCCTTGTCGCTTGATCTTCTTGTTGTGCTGAGCGTAGTAAACTCAGGTTCGTTACGCACGCACGGAAGATGGGGCGCGTCTCCATACTCGTCGTCCATAAGTGTTGTGCATTCATCTGATCCCATCCGTGCGCGGGCGGTGTTCACCATCTTCCATGCGCTCGGCGTCGATGCACCATGTTGCGGCTCGGTGGGCTCAGCACCCCCTTGCCTCGCTCGACTGCCTGCCTGCCCTCAAAGCGCGTCCGTGCGCAATCCAAACCCAACGACGAACAACAGAGATATCACATGCGCGATAGACGCAACATCACAGAGAAATACACGACTAGATTAGATGAGTTTATCTACACTATAAAAAAGGATTAACTACAACAAGAAAAACATCAAATTACTAAACTACAAGGAAAACACGGGAATAGCCCGCCTCACTCCGAGTCGCCGATAGTCACAGAGCATCTCTCAACATAAGAAGTTCAGGGGTTGGCCCCAGGGTCGACCGCATAGCGCCTAGTCCTTCCGGAACGGTGCGACCTCTCCACTACTCCCGCGATAATACTTCCTTTGATCAGTAGACGAACTTACTGCGCGTATGCGCTTACATCCAGAAAAGAACTATTGCTTGACCGCTATCCACAACAAAACTTCTTCTGCAGGAGCTCGCTAACCGGCTGCCAAGGTCCTCACAAGAAATCGATAAGGGGTGAATCAAACCAAGAAAGGAATAAGGCGCGCAATGCTGTTGGCGCCGCCTTATATACGCCTTTTCTTGGCAGCGAGCTAGCGGGGTGAGATCCGAGCGCGAATACAAGAGGCGCGCCCGGCTACAGCGGCATACGGCGCTCCCGGCCGCTGTATCGAGGAGTGGCTTGCATCGAGCGAGCCGCGACAGGAAGGTAAAAACGCCTGCTAGAAAAAGAAAAGAAGCTGCTTCGAATAACTCCTAAGTTTTATGAGGAGCGATTCTTTCGAGATGGGTGACCAAATATTGAGTTTGATGACATCAAGATAAAAATAGTAAGTTCTGAAAATCTAATAGTATAAATGCTTAAGGAAATGACGTTGCATTGCACTTTGCTTACTTTGCTCAGCTTCCCAATGAGCTCCGAAAGGTCTAAGGTAATAATTTTGAAAGACTACCAAATTCTCACATAGTAGTACCATGTGTTCGAAATTTCTCAATTATTTCAGTGACCATAAGTGTGAAACGCTCACAAAATGATTACGGGAAGAGGAAGAAAAGCTGCATCGAATATCATTGAGAACGTTTTTTACTTTATTGCACATGTTTTAATGAGGACTCCAGAATGGCAAGACGCGAACTTTTGGACCAATTTAATTAATGACGTCTGTGAAACTACTCAGACAATTGAGAACTCTCAGCGGGCAGCGATAGGAAGCAGTTTCAGTGGGCGGGCGGCGATAACTCGGAAAAAGTAGCGAGCGGGCAGTGACAGGCTATCAGCGGGCTGCCATAATCTTCCGTGAGTCAGAAAATAATTACAGAGCGCGTTATTGCTACAAAAGCACCCAGAAGGCGACGACAAGGCAGCGATAACAGCTAGTTGGCAACGACCAGGAAGCGATGGGGTTGCGAAAGCAAGGTTTTTGTGAGCGGGTCGCGAAGATGCTATGAGCGGGCACCGATTTCTTGTATCTGGCTGGTATCGATTGATTTGTGCAGTGCTCATCTGTGCACATGATACGTGTCTTTTGCAAGAAAGAGCACGGCGTCATTATCATTGATTCTTCTTGTGCGTCCGTCAGTATCCGAGCTTATCGTCTTAATCTCATCCGTATATGTATCTCATTTGCTTTCCCACAGATTTTCTCTCTCTATTGCATTCAGTAATCTCGCTTAGCAAATATGGCACCACTAATCTCTTTTGATGAGATGGTGGTGTGTATTTTGGAAAGAATTTCTTTTGTTAGCTTCTTTTCTGTATATGTCCTCTCCATGACAGTGGGTGCCGTACTTTCTCCAATTTGAATTGTTTGAGCTTTAAAGACATTGAAGATTGAAGCTTAGTTCGTGTTTTTGTGAGTTACCATGACATTCGTTTGCTTTTGATGGTTATTGCATAAGGGGCCGGGCATACTTCACGCGATTTCAGTCGCGACGCGATTTGGCAATATTCCAACTGTCGGTAACTCATTGTAAGCACAATTTGAATGTACAGATAGCGTATTTTATCAACCCACTTAAGTCATACACACCATGCATGTGGTTTGCTAGTGTTGCATCTGAAGAGTTCTGGCGAATTGCCAAATCGCGTCGCGACTGAAATCGCGTAGAGTATGCTCAGGCCTTAAGATACGGGAGCGCGATAGCACCATCAGCTGTGCGATGACCCATTGAAAAGATG